CGGTATCTTCGGCGTCCTCCGTGACCGTGACCTCTGTTGGGATCAGCATCCGCTTCGCGATATCCAACCAGACACGAGCCCCGGCCTTGGTCTCCCGAGTCCCCTCCGGTGTGTACTCCTGAACGAGTTGCATCAGTAACTGCTTCTCTCCAATCCTACACATGGGCCTCACAGCCGTCTGGTTGCCCGTAGCACCTAAACAATACGCCAACATAAACACACACAATGAACAGAGAGAGGCAAAGGCAAAGGTATCTGGCGTGTCAGCTAATTACATACACTTTTTTTCACTTTTTTTACGTTGAGGCCATGCAATCAACAACAGCAGGCGTGTTCTTTTTATACAAGAACACGGTCCTCCCAGGACGGTGCCCGAGCTACATCGTGCAACAGGACAGGAACAGGGCAACGAATGTACGCGCATGTAGACTCCAACCTATAGCATGGCAACAGCACTAGTCTAGCAAGGCGACCGACACACCTGCAGGACTCACCGCCACAAGCAACCACGTGGTCACGCTTTCGGGAAAATTCGCCCGTCACTGCTGTAGTACACTGCTGCTAGAAAACTTGTACAAAAATAACTGCCACACGCGCCGTCTGCTCAGGTTGTTGGCCTGGTCACCGCCCAACCGGGGCGTGCTGCGCCTTCAGACCAACATAAACACTACCAATACTTTAGTCGTTCCGTCACGCTCACCTGCTTTTTGCCCCGAGGCGGTGTCGCCAGATCCCTGGTCATCACCGTCGCCTTGTGGACTCAACACTACGCTGTCGTCGTTCCGAAGGGTGGTGTCTAGGCCAGCTAGGTCGACGACCGGCGCGTCCGGGCTCCCAGCGAGGGTCGACAGGCTGTAGCGCCCTCTCCCAGGAGACGGGGCGTATCCCTCGTCTTCGTCCCGCCAGGGTGCCCTCGTGTGGCGCTGAGACCCATGTTTTATGGTCGCCAAATCTTTGCGAAAATATTTATATTTTCAAACATTCGCGGATGCTAAAAAAGTTGTCCGGGACAATGAATTTCAAAGACGACAAGCCTTCAAGGCCAAGCGCGATAGGAAGAGGGCGGATGACCGTGCTCTACGAGAAAGAGCGGGGGCTAAAGCAACGACGACGACGGCAGCAGTAGCAGCAGCAGCAGCAGCAGCAGCAGCAGCAGCAGCAGCAGCATCATCAGCGGCTAGAAATAAATGCTCGTTCGAGACGAAACCAACAACAACAGCAGAATCGACAAGCCGCCGAGGCAAAAGCGCAATCAGCAGCGGCTGGCTACAGCTCGTTGGAGACAGAACCAGCAGCTCAATCGAGAAGCAGTGGAAGCAAAAGAGAAAGCCGAACAGGAGAATAGACGAGCAACACCGACATCAGCGGCGGCAACCGCTCGTTCGAGACACATCAAGAAGCAGAACCGACAAGTCGCGGAGGCAAAAGCGAAGTCGGCAGCGGCCTCTGCTCGTTCCACAATAAAACAGCAGGAAATTAGACAAGCAAGGGCGAGTGCCGGGGAGGCAAAAGCGAAGTCGGCGGCGGCCTCTGCTCGTTCCACAAAAACCCAGCAGGAAATTAGTCAAGCCAGGGCGAGTGCCGCGGAGGCAATGTCCTTACTTACTTCTTGTCCTTTCGACATGCGTGGTGGATGAATGAAAAAATGGTTTCTTTTTCGTTATACCGCACTCTACTCCTGTATGCAGTGCCGGCGTTGTTGTTCGAATAGACTACGAGAACTTCATTCAGCATTCAGCAAAAAATGGGTCGAAAAAATCAATTTGGGAAGCAGCCGTGGGCACACGGCAATCTATTTCAAACATTCGCGGGTAAAGATTTTGTTTCACTGTTTATGGGAGAAAATCTTCGGCAAAATAATCTCAAACATTTTGAAATGCGGCAAAAGTCGCTCGTTTGACAAAATATTCTCAAACATTTTGAAATGGGGCAGGTCGCGAAAATGTTTCCCAAGAGCGGCGAGATTAGTAGCCGACCGCCGCTTCCGCCCTAACCACCAACCACTGCGCAGCGCACACTCAACGTAGCAAGCTCATAGAGGGATTCGGACAACCCTAGAGTCACCGTGTCAATGTTGTGCCGGCTGATACATGGCGGGAGCTCGTCAAGCGTGCACAAAAAAACAAACAGAAAAATTTTAAAATAGACCGAAAAAAACGTTGTGTCCACAACTTTGCGCGCACAACGATGTATCTCCCTGCCGGCTGAGCGCGGCCACTGCCAACCCACGCACAACCGGATGAGAGTCGTTGATGGAGAAGGCACTCAAGAAGACAAAACATGAATCGATGGTCTAGAGGATGAGAGCTGGATAGTTTTGTACTCACGTGTCCTCTCAAGCGGCCGTCTTTTTGCCGTTGGGAAGCGCTGACGCACGTTCTGGTCCCTTTTTGACACCGAGAACATTTTTTCTCGCACGCCCGGAGCGCTATCGCCAAATATTGGCGGGCACAGCATCAGCCCAGTGCATAAAGGGTTGTGGGGAGCCCTTTGCGAGCTCGTTCCATTCAGTTTCCATGACCCATTTGTGGTTTGTCTGTCACAAATCGTTTGGTAGCAGTAGACAACAATTCCCGCCGCATGTGCGATGCATTTCGAGAAAACC